ATGCTGGACAACTTTTCCCTGCAGACTGTATTAGATTGGACCTAATTTGAATTACTGGATACACAGTGAGCATCATTGTGTCATGTTAAAAAAACAAGACTAATTCCATAATTGAATTAACGCAGTGAATACATAAATTTTGACAGCCCTAGTATCTTTGTGAAGTGCTCAAAAAACAAAATAAAAAAAAACTGAACGTGAGCACAGACTGTGACGAGTGTTGCAACTGACAGCCCCAGCTTCGAGGCACAGCTGAGGGGCAGAAGGTTCAATCATCTTTGATGCTGTGTGGGTTATTTTAATAAAGTATTTAAGTGCGGTGACAAAAGAGGTTGCAGAAAGACGCAGCGTACTCTGGATTGTTCTTCTCCTTCCAAATATGTGTCATAAAAGTGGCGGTAAAAAAAAAATGGATTCAAAGGGTAGGCTGAGTGTATCACAGCGTAATGGCTGAGCTGATATCAAATGTCATGTACCTAGTAAAATTCCTGAGGTGATCTGGGTGAGGATCTGTCTGAAACAATGACGGGAATGGCATACACAACAAAAATGATCAAGCATAAAGGGGAGAAAGAAAAAGGCAGTAACATTCATCAGGGTGACAGGGGACACGGACTGATGTACATGTTAAGAAAAAGCTAATGAATGTGTTCCTGGCTTAATGGCATTTTGGAGGTAGAAGAGAGAAAAAAAATCAGAATATGCTGACATTTTCTCATTTAGAATCTTGAGTTACAAGTTCCTTACAGCACAACCAAAAGGTCCGGTGGGAGGTGTTGGACCGACTCCTGCCGCGCAGAGTCTTACATACGTGATTTACAACAGAGAATAAATCAGCACAAGTTGATCCTGGCCATTAGACTGCGGCTAAATGAAATGTAACTGTCTGTACGGAGAGCGGGCAGGTAAAATATGAGCAGATTTGCAGCCCATGTGCTGAAGGCAAGTCTTCGAGAGGGGGAGTAAGATTTGCCAATTCTTAGAGCTGGCATCCGGACATTATCCTAAAAATGGACTGAAGTGACAGATGGTATGCAGAAGGTAGAGGAACCATTATCGGGCTGAGTCACATGATTAATGTCACGGCGCATCATAGAAATCAAAATTATGGACTGGATTTTATGGTTTTAGGGAGAGACTATCCGGGGGGAAAAAAAACTTTTCACACACCTGTACTGACAACACTGTCATCCAAAAATGTCTATTGTGCACATTCTAGTTGGAAAACACTGTCAAAAGTGAAATGACCATATAGAGTATCCTAATAACAATTGGACAAAACTAAAATGAAGTACATCTATATATATATATTTTAATTGTAAAATTAGTCTACCTACAGGCTGACCGGTGTCAAGGCCTTTCGTCCTTTGCTTGTCTTGTCCATTCTGTTAAACCAATAATAGATCTCCGTACACAGCTGAGCCTCATATGTTAGGAAGTGACTGAAGTTGTCTAGCATGTCCCATGATTATTCCATGATAAACTTGAGGTACACTTCGCTTCACCAGGAACTCTGATGACTGTAGCTGCACCATCCTCTAGGCAGAGCCTTTTTCCAGGACAGTGAAGGCATCACTGCTAGTACTTAGTTCTGATGGCCTCGCTTCCACTATTTGCAGGCATGACATTGGTTATTTTAGCTCATCTGAGTTGCTAGTTAAATATCCTCCTCAGATTCCAGTAGAGTAGTTTTAAATAGAACATATTCCAGATAGTGACAAAGTACAGAAGATACTTTTTTCCAGGGCTGAACATGAGGTTATTTTTGGGTTAAAACCTCTAATATGTGAGACAGATTAACGCCCCGCACCTGACCATAATCTTCCACATTTAGTTATGTTCACTTGCTCAGAACAGTACATTTTAGCACATGTAATTACTTCTCCGCTACTGCATGCTCCATTTACCTGCTGGCAGGCACACAGTGGCCATACAGACACAGGAATAGCTGCAGAGGCGGAGTTCACTTCAACGTGATTCCATCTGGGTGACCTCGTAATTGAAATGGCAGTCATTTTCAGTCTGCTGACCTCTCATTGGAGACCTCTCACTATACCAACATTATTGAGGTTGACTAATAAAGAGACCCAGGAGACCTGATCTGGATACTGCAGACTGGAAGCATTGCACACCTAACCAGGAGCAAACGGTCCCTGGTTCATTTACATGATGAGGTATGAAGTGGTACCCCCTAGAGCAGGGGCCACCTGGTAGACCCCATGGACTACCCAAGGTGTCTACAAGGTATGTTCTAAAAATAAAGCTAGCCAACACGATGGTAAAATATTGTACTGATAGTGATTTGTAATATATATTCAAAGTAAACACGATGGTAAAATATTGTACTGATACTGATTTGTAATATATGGTGCAATGACGATTTAAGGAGAGTGTTTGCTATTGTATGTCCCAGAACTTGACGGAGCAAGCATCTGTTTTCTAATGTCATAGTATTATTACATTGTTCTGAAGAGTCTCTCAAACAAGTAGCTCTTCGTATTGCTAAGTGCCCTTGAAGTAGCTCTCAGTTTCAAAAAGGTTGGTGACCCCTGGGCTAGAGACTGCCCTCTACAGCCCGACTCCATCGGTTCTGTGCCCATTTCATTCGCCCCTCTTGAACACCTCAAAGAATTTGGCTTTACTTTGCCCACTTTCGCTCCTGTACCTGTGTTTCTCAGGGGACTGTCAGTTTCAACAGCACCATTAGCTCCCAGCCCTTCCCTGTTAAGATCAAATCTGGCCGCAGAGACATCCTGGCAGTGTGCTGCAGAAACTTTAGAGCCACGCCCAAAGGGGCTGTGAAGTCAGAGCCAAGGTTAACAGCCTCATTGACACTGTGTTTATGGCCTTGATTTTGCACCTGCACTGATGTAAAATACCTTAATTCTTTTTCTGCAGTAAGCACAGTGGGAATCTGATGAATGACACTATTTTAGGGCATGGTATTTTGGGCTTATTTTCTTTTACCTCTCTCTTATGAAATATAAATTAAATGCCACACAGAGAACTCTTCTTTTTAACACACTGTCATATCACACAAGAGAATATAAACCAAGGATTCAGATGTGAGCTCTGAAACGGTTCCTGAGCTCAACAGGCTAGAATCACAGAAATGGTTGGCACAGTGGTTACTCACAATTAACAAATAAAATAAATCCATTCAGCAAAGACAAATGCCTGTTCACTGAAAAAAGGTTCTGGCGTATTGTCACTTGATAATGCAGACGGCAACGTGATACAGACAGGATTAGTTTATTAGACCTATGCAAGGGAGTTTCAGCTAATCAAGGAAACAGGAAACACAAGAGGCAGGATATGAAGATACCTGGGATGATGCAAGTTTCAAAATAAACCTGGAAATACTGACATAATTTTGCGTGGCGTTTTTGATGATGATGAAAGATGATGAATTAATTATCTTTTTATTTCATAGGCATAAATTTGGCAAGTTGTCCCATGAGCTAGTATAATTTATTCAACTTCTCTCCAGTCCTGGATGAAGACGTTATGTGCTCAGTCTGGGTTCTTACTGCCAGGCACCAACACTGAGTGTGTTTTACTGAACTCTTTCTCAGAGTTAGACACTGAGACATAACTTTTAGAAATATTTTCTATCAAGTTCCAAAACATGTCACATAGTATTACTCTGTTACTGTTACCTAAAATGCCAGAATTTTTTTTTAGACTTTTTGGGGCCATCATGCCAAGCTCTTTTACGTAGGTATGGAGTATCACTGGACTATTTTTGTTACGTAGAATTAAGTGCTTCATAAGAAATTGGGTTACAACTGAAAGAATCAGGTAAAGTGGAAGTCCAAAAGCTTGATTTATTCAAGAACCTCCATATAAAGTGTTATAAAGAAAACTACAAATACAAGTTAACCACTTGTAAACGATGAAAGTATATCTTTGCATTTGTGATTTTTTTCAACTATCTCTAAACAGCTTCTGAGTCATTATCTACTAATAAAACTTTTAAACTAATATTAATTATTTGCTGACAATAACCTAATTTGTGTTGTTTAAATTGTCCTTTGACAACTTATAATTAAATCTAGCTTTTAAAAGTCAAAGGGGCTGATAAATATGGAAGAATGTATGAAAAAATACATTTTTTAAATTACACTAAACAAATTTGAATTCAATATCCTAAACTTTTTAGGGAAGGTTTTACTTCGATCTACAAAAAGCGTCACAACATGTTAGAAGAAGATGCAGCCAACAGACTGTTCTACTCATGTCGTCTAAGACCCTACCTGACAAATGTGGTGCAACGATAATAAAAGGCTTTCGGTGGATGAACCCATTTTTATCACAAACAAAATTTTGTGACCTTTCATGTCTTGTTTCTAAAAAATGCAATAATTGTAGAAGGCAGAGTGAAAAATAATTACTCAAACTCATTGAGTTTTATCATTATAAACCCTTATTTGGTCATATCACACAGCCCTACCTGGCCAGCCAGTCTTAAAATTTCACAAAAAGCTTTTATGGGTCAGAGTTCCTTATCTAAAGAGCCAATCCAGAAGATCAGAGCAGAACCCAAGGTCACTGAATATTACATGAACAGGATCTTGTTCTTCTTTACTTTTCCCACTGTTTTGCTGAGAGCAGCTTCTCAGAATACCTGTAGATACTCTGGTATGATAAAGAGGGGGAGCAGACTGCTGGATACCAGGGTTTGATCCACTACCGAACCACAAGA